TTTTTGACAGAACGATGATATCAGTGAACTCCAAGGGATGTACAGTCATTGAACAAATTTCTTGCATTTGCGCCAACACTACATCTTATTGATGAAGGCATAATTTGAAGTAGTTTAAGTTTAGGCAATTTAAACTGAGAGTAAAGCTTAGGGTCAGATCACAGGGCCATCCATTTTTCCAGCACCCTATTGCAGATTTTTGGGATTAAAGGCTTTTCTCAAGAACCGAGTAGTGATATTATTACCCTGCCTGCATTTTGGTCAAACAACAAACAATCCAGTCATAAGCACAGATTCCTGACCTGCAGAGCCATACAACTTACCTACCTGCACATACAAGTATGATGATTTTCATTATATAAACAGGTGCAGGTGCAGTGTGACACACCCTTTTATTTATTTACTTAACAGGCCTTAAATTCATTTAATAGTGGATGACCAGTTACATGGCTGCCAATAGAACCTGTAAATTACGCTCATAATGAGATCAGACCATTTCACTGAGATTAAGCTCTTAAACACAGCTTCCAGTGGAGCACACCCAGTATGTGCTTTGGAGGCTCCATCCCAAATTTCCACCTTCATTTGTTCCTTTATTAGCCCACCTGGCTCATTACTATCATCACCTTTTGTTTTATATAAGCAGGGTCAAGCATCAATAATAAAGGAGCTTATGCATAGGCTTGCAGAAATGTAGATGTCTTCATCACAAAAACAACAGCCACATCACTACAGCAGTTTACTAAATTAACGAGCAAGAATACAGTCATCAGAAAGATTAAACCAGGAAAAGGTGGGTTGCAGACTTCCCTGCTAGGACAGGTTCAGGCCATTTCCCCACAAAGACCCAGACTAGCACACATGACTAGAAGGATGGATTTTGTAATTAGTAATTTCTATATGGGTAGAAATTAATTCTCACCCCTGAGAGCTGCATATGATTAAATTATCTTATTACAAATGTAATAAACAAATGTTGTATCTTTGGGGGCAGTTCAGATATGAGGCAGTTAGAGAATATACTGTAGTTATTCACATGTGGGATTTGTGTTGTTAAAGACCAGCTAGTTAGGCTGCTGGGCCTTTCTATTACTCCCAGGAGGTTCTGGAGTCTGCTGTTCTGTGCAAATAACGCTGCTGTATACTAATGATAACATGTTATAGCAGGAAAATGAGCTCCATGCTTTGGTTTCAGCCTTGAGTGTCAAGAAATGAAATACATAATCATGTCATATCAGGATATTACATTGTTTATATTGCTAACACATCTACTACATGACAACAGAACAAGACTAGAATTAATTCAGATACTTGTCTTTTTCTCATTAGAGTTTAATTCATCCATCCATCTTCTAACTGCATATCCCAAACAGGGTCACAGAGATTCTGGAGTCCATCCCAGGAAGCACAGAACACAATAACACCCAGGATCTGATGCCATTTCAGGGTACATACATGAAATCATTTACATCACATTAATGTAGGAGATGCTTTTATCCCTAGAAAGCAGGTGTCAGACCTGTGAAACTAATCTGCTGGCCTTAGGATTTGAACCAGCAACTATCAGATGAGAGGAAAAGAGGTACCAACCCTCTGAGCCAAACACTGCAATTGCAAAAGGCAGTTCAGAGATGCCAGTTCACTTTATCAATCTTTATACTGTGAGAGGAAACCGAAGTTTCTGCAGCCACACAGAACATGCAAACTTCACACACACAGCAGAGGCAGGAGTCATGCCCCCAGCTCTGGAGGTGTGAGGCTACTGTTCTACAAGTATAATGTTTACTGTTTGATTTGCGATATGCCAATTCCAATAAAAACTGATTATTGTCAATGAATCTATCCAAACATCTGTCTTTTTTCTTTTCTGTTCTACATGAGGTGTCATTGACATTGGAGAGTCATGTGATTCATGCATTTGATAACAGTAACAACATGTGGAAAGGCAGTATTCTCATGGGTATAATTATTACATGCATCTCCTCAGGGTCCATGATGAGCAGAAAAAATATCATTAGAGCAATAGAGGCCAATGAAGCACCTGAGCATCAGGTTTGCTTCTCAGTTTTGGCACCTCTACACTTGGGGGCAAAACCCTTGTTTGTTTATTACAAGAGATGATGCAAAACTGTTCTTTAATTGCATTATGACAATATGAAGTCATTCTTAACAATCTCTTTATAACAACATCTATGCATCCATCTTCCAACTGCTTTTCAGTCTATCCTTTCAATCTGTCATAAGGGGTTAATGTTATACATAATAGTTACAATTATATATGGGCTATGTGTCACAAACAATTCATATCTCAACACATACATCTCCAAAATATATTAAACACAACACTGAACCTACACTAAAATATTTTATTGAAAAGAAATTAATAAATGGAAATTCAACAAGTGATACTGAGTCATTAAGCTTTCACAGATACCGCATAAAATAAGGTGGGTCATTGAGAAGAATTCCCACATTCGTATCTGGTATGACCTCCATTTTCGTGTTGATCAGGTTCTTGATCATGGATTATGTAATATTGTCCCACTGTACAAATTCTGTGTGATATCTAATATCGATGTGCTGTCCTGCATCTGGGCCATTGTGTTGTTTAAAACAACTGCACATTTATATTCCTCATAATTAGAACTCCTGTGTGGTGATGCCACATCTGTGCAGCAGGCTGATTATCAATACACTTAAAAAGGTATTTTATTTAGCTAAATTTGAAAGGCATATGCTCTTTATATCTTGGATTTTTTTTAAACTCAAAACTCAAAGTGTATTTATATGTTTGTTGAATATGCCTTTCTACTGCCACAGCTCACTCAGCTGATACTTTATGGCCTGTAGCTTTGTGCCAAGTTAGCCTGTATGCTCTCAGGGAGGTAGGCTGGTCTTAGGCTGTCATTCACGCTCTCCCACTCATCTCCATTGTCCAGCCACAGCTTATTTCAGTTGCCCTGATGATGATTTAATTCACAATCATTAGTAGATTAAAACTGTACACTGAAAACTGGAAAAGGGATTAAATGTTAATGGGAAAATAGCCATCTTAACAAGCAAATTTCTATTCCAGGGAACAACCCAGGATGGGGTGCCAACCTATCGCAAAGCACACTCACACTCCAGTCACTGACACACCATCCACTCACACATACACACCTATGGGCAACTTAGTAACTCCAATTAATCTCAGCATGTTTTTGGACTGTGCGGGGAAACTGGAGTACCTGGAGGAAACCCCACAATGACACGGGAAAAACATACAAACTCCACACACATGGAATTCTAGCAGAGACTTGAATCTAAGTCCCAAAGGTGCAATGTGACAGCACTATTCACTGCACCACCATGCCACCCCCCAAAACCAATCTATTGAAGCCTAATTATAAGTTCTAATATCTAATTTGCTAGGTCAGTGCCTTATTAAAAAAGGCAAATTATTTTGTTCTCATTCAACATTTGTTTGGTTTGGGTACATGACAACACCTGAAATTTGCATCTCACAGCCCTGAGATGAACATGAGACTTGACACTTATGGTTTTGAAAGGAATGGGAGGGTATGTGATATTGTGAGAGCAACAGGCTTAAAGGAATTGGCTGGCTAAGTTGGCAACTGAAAAGTATTCTCATCCTCTGCAGTGCCGGTACAGAAGAGCTAAGCGATATAGGGTGCCCTTTGAAGTACTCATGCCCTCTGCAGTGCCAACGCAGAACAGCGCTGACTTGTGGGGGGAGTGGAACTGTATTAAGGATGTTGTTAGGTTGAGTGACCAAAAAAAAATGTAAGTGAAATGGCAACAAGAAAATCAACATTTTAAAACAAGCAAATATTGTTACTAGGGCCGTCAGGGAGCTCAAGATATCAAACAAACTAGCTGAAACATCCACTGCTGACATTTACACTCCCCTACTGAGGGGAGTGTAAATTTTTATTCATATACTGTTAATTCAAATTCAGCACCTCACTGCTGGACGTTTGTGTATGAGGAACATAGTTCCAAAGCTCACATAGAAATTCAAAGGGTATGGCCATGAAAAACTTTATAATAAAAGTATATATATATATATATATATATATATATACACACACACACACACACACACGCACACACACATACATAAAAAAGATATTAATTAACCATTTTGGTGATGTCACACACAGACCATCATGGAGCCAAACATATATAAGTCTTGAGTTTTTTGCAAGTTCACTATCAGTTTAAGGAACAAGCAGGCAAACGCTTCCTATGCAGAGGCAAAGACAAATTAAATCATCGGAAACTGCTGGTTTTTTGGCAGCATAGGTAAGATTAAATCAGAGTAATATACTTAAAATAGCCCTGAAGTAGGTTTATAGATATGGAAACTCATTTAGTTTAAAACATTAGTAAAGCATATAGTTTACAGATCTTCAAAAGTGTTGTGTAATATTGTACAGCTTAAAAAAAATCCTTAGTTCCTTATTTATTCCTTAGGTAGAATTTCATTCACAGATTATATGGGTTATTGGACATATGAAGAAAATGATTTACTTCATTATTAACATTTTTACTTTTTCATAAGTTGAGAGTTTGTACATTCAGAGATGCCTTTCCGCACACTGTCGTGCTAAGATTATTTTTGCTGTTCTGGGCATTCTCCTCTGACATAGGTAATGACTAAAATATAGTTACAAAGCTGTTTGTGTGTGTGTGTGAGAGAGTGTGTGTCTGTATGAATAAAGAAAATCAAACACAAAATCACAGAGGTCAGAGCAGAATGCCAAAAATAAATATATATACATAAACAAATATTCATGTATATATATTTTCTTTTGTAACTGTACATATATAGATTTAGATATAGATATACACACGTACACACACATATACATATATACACATACATATATGCACATGATGCAAAGAGTGAATAAGTTAGACAATTTTCTTAAGACTAACAAAATGCTACTTTTTTTCTTTCAGGTCAGAGTACAACAGCTCACAATACTGTTCTTGCTATGACATCATCCATGAACTCAAGTTCGAATTTCATTGTGCGACCTATGTCCTTCATTATCAGTGGTTTCTCCAGTATTCCCAATATTAAGTACTACTACGTTTTCCTCAGTTTTATTTATACTGCCACAGTGTTGGGAAATTTATTTGTCATGGTAATAATCTACGTAGACCAAAACCTCCACACTCCAAAATACCTTGTGATTTTTAACTTGGCGATGGCTGACTTGGGAGAGAGCACCGCCCTTATTCCCAAAGTGATTGAAACCTTTCTTTTTAATACACAGGAAATTTCCTATGGTGCCTGTTTGGCCAACTTGTTTTTTGTATTTTTCTTCAACTGCATGCAATCCATCACTCTCACTCTCCTGGCATATGACAGATTCGTAGCAATTTGCGTTCCACTGCGATATAAAAGCATCGTCACAAATGCATCAATGGCTGTCATTCTCACAGTGTTGTGGCTGTTTGATTTAACAATTATCTTGTTTACAGTGGCCTTGATCACCAGACTGTCTTTCTGTAAATCCACAGTAATTGATAGCTACTTTTGTGACCATGGGCCAATGTACAGACTGGCCTGCAATGACAATTCTTTAAATGCAGTGATGGCAATATTTAACATAGTGACATTCATTTTTCTTCCATTGACATTGATAGGACTGTCATATGCATGTATTTTGGTTTCACTTTTTAAAATTGCATCATGGGAGGGACGTCTAAAGGCCTTAAAGACCTGTTCCTCCCACCTGATACTGGTGTTGGTATTTTATATTCCATTAGTTAGTACCTATATAGCTGCCAGGACCACCTCCATCCACCGTGATGTCAGGATAATTAATACATCACTCTCATACGCCATTCCCCCCATGTTGAACCCCATTGTATATTCTCTGAACACTGCCGAGATCAAGGACTTTGTAAGGAAAATGTTCAGAAGGAAGAGACACAATGTTATTGGCACTGCATTTCAGAAATGATCAGATGCAGGGGAAACTGAAAACAGATCCATTTTTATGCTTGACCAGTTAGTGGTTCAGTACTGCCTTTGTTTTTCTAGTTCTTCTAATTTTTATTAATGAATATGATCATTGTGATCATATGTGCTATAAGGGCCTGAAAGAGCATACACCTAAATATTACAGTAAAACACATCAGATTGGGACTACGAAACTTTGCATACACCAATAAGTAAGCAAATAAGCCAAGAGAAAAGTTTCATTATAAGATACTTAAAATGTTAAACTTGGGATGTATCCTTTAACAATTGCTACGATATCAGAAACCATCCCAAATTGAGAATATACTTTTTTCACTTCATATTTAGAAATGGGCCTTATTGATAAATTTCTGTGCTACATTAGGAGTGAGAGGGGTGCTGCAGTGGTTAGCACTGTTGCTTTATACCTTTAGGGCTGGGGTTCGAGCTTTATGTGTGTGGAGTTTGCGTGTTCTCCTCATGTCATCATGGGGTTTCCTCTGGTTTTCTACCCACAGTCCAAAAACATGTTAAGGTGAATTGGAGTTGCCAAACTGCCCATTGGCATGAATGGTGTGTGTGCCCTGCGATGGGTTGGCACTCCATTCTGTGGTATTCCCTGCCTTGCTTCCAGATCCACGCAACCCTGTATAGCAGAAGGACAGATGGGTGGATGAATTACATTACTATTAAAACAAAAACAACTATCTGTTATTAAGGCTGTAATTTTCATCTAGAATTTTTATTTTGGATACAGTACTTCTTTACAGCCTATTTCAACATGAACTTTACATTATAATTTATTAATAAATCATTTTTTAAATGCATCTGGACTGTGCATTTTCATATGCTTTAACAACATCCTGCTTCATGATACAGGCCCCAGGGGGGTATTCCATGAAAGTAGCTAAAGAAAGGCAGACTTTCCCGAAAAAGTCAGACTCAAACTAGCTCCATCTCTAAACTTAGCCTCATGTCGTTCCACAAACACAGATCAGTTTTAACTAATCAAGGCTCATTCAAGACAGACTTGCATAGTCTCAGTGCGCACACCTGTGATATTTAAGAAGCCCAAATAAATGGATGAACGATAGATCGACCAAATGAGTCGGAAAGCCTGTAAAATGTTTCTTTCCGCTGCAGAACAAACGCTGCGGATGGAGCTGTATGAAAAATGGCCCCCTCTCGTTTGTAAATTTCTTATGTTTATGTATGTAATCGTTAAAAAAGGCAATACTGTGGCCATAAACACAGCCAAGGAGTTGGCTTAATTGGCAATGACTTGCAAACAGACTAAATGCATAAGTTACGTAAACATTACAAGTGCATGGTATGGTGGTACAGTGGTTTATGCTATCACCTTATAATGCGAAAGTTGCTGGTTCCATCCCCATAGCCAATGAGGAACTTTCTGGCTTGACTTCACCTGTCATTATTACTGTATAATATTATTTGATCTCCGTAAAATACTTTACATCACATCCGTGTTTAATGTTCTGCACAAATAACCGTATCTTGTCTTTGCTATTTTAGTAATAAACTTTCAAAGATGACAATGACTAAACAAAATATAAAAATATCTTCCTGTTCATATTATTGTAAAGGATTTTTTCCCAATTACAGTCATTGCATTTCATGTTTCACCCTTGTAATATGCGTACACTTTTATTTTACAGTAAAATACCATTATAACGGACTTCAAGGGACCTGGCAAAACAGTCCATTATATCCAGAGTTGCTGTATGCCCAGAACACAACTACAGGACAGCATTTACTTATGCCACACATCAGCAGACACACTTGTGGTATAGATTATTATATTGTACATGTAGTAATCCAACTTTACTTGACCAGATGCGTGACTATTAGTAATCACGAATACGTACGTATCTGTGCTGGATATCACCGGCACGACACATGCCTTAATTGTAGGCGGAACTGCATGTCCGTTATAGCTGAACAAAACTACAGCTAAAAGCGGCCCTGGGGACCAAATTCTTAGTCCATTATAAGCGAAATTCCCTTACATGCGAGTCCACTATAACGGGATTTTACTGTAATTATTTTGGAATTAATTGGAATGCTAAGACGTGATTTTATAGGCTTTATTATATTGATAATGTAGCAATCTCAGCTCTGTTCTCCATATTATGGAAGTATCACGCAGAGAATTACTTCCGAAAAGCTGATTTTTATTCTCTGCTTTCTCATCTTGCTTTTACTCACAGCACTGACTACTGTCACACCCTGCCTGTACCGCCCTCATGTGGACCATGTCTACCTCGTTAACCCCGTGTGGAATCCTTCCGTTTACCTGTTGTTTTGCATTTCCTGCTTGTAGTCCTGTGTATATTAGTCCGCGTTCAAGTCTGTTTCCCCAGGTCTGTCATTGACGTTCGTATGTTGTGTGCTCCCCTATCTGCTTGTCAAGTCGAAATAAACCCCGCTTCATGAGGGTGGCCTGAGGGCCTGACACCCTCTAGTGGGCCCTGTGCTCACTGTCTGACACCGTGGAACTCGATTGGCATTTGCCACAGAATACCAGAATTGGCAGGTCTGCCACTGGCACCCTGTGCTTTTCACAGATGAGAGCAGGTTCACCCTGAGCACGTGACAGACGTGAAAGGGTCTGGAGATGCCGTAGAGAACATTATGCTGCCTATAACATTGTTCAGCATGACTGGTTTGGTGGTGGGTCAGTGATGGTCTGAGGAGGCATATCCATGGAGGGACGCACAGACCTCTACAGGCTAGACTATGCCACCATGACTGCCATTAGATATCAGGATGAAATCCTTGGACCCATTGTCAGACCCTATACTGGTGCAAAAGGAAAAAGATAATGAGCAAGCAGGTCCTTTAAAAATGAACGTGAAAGACCCAGGGAAGATCAAGATCGTCCATTTGTTTGTTCGTAGATCTCTCACCCTCATCTGGATTACAACTTGACCACCTTGGTTATAGTTTCCATGTGCTGTCGTGTGCCTGCTTGTCCATGTGAGTTCGTCTTGAGTGGATATGTCTTCGTCTGGGAAGCTCCAAATCAGGGCTGTAACTCGATATGAGGTCACTGAGGTCTGGACCTCGGTAATTTTTTTACGAACTTAAAATAACATTGAACCAGCTCTATACTCTCTGCAGGGTTCTGGAGGGTTCATGGGAGTTTGCCCAAACAGTCTACATGTGTTTTGTGGACTTGGAGAAGGCATTTGACCATGTCCCTCGGGGAGTCCTGTGGGGGGTGCTCCGGGAGTATGGGGTGCCGGGCTTCCTTTTAAGGGCTGTTCAGTCCCTGTATGACTGGTGCCAGAGTCTGGTCCGCATGGGCAGCAATAAGTCGGACTTGTTTCCGGTGAGGGTTGGACTCCGTCAGGGCTGCCCTTTGTCATCGATTCTGTTCATAACTTTATGGACAGAATTTCTAGGCGCAGCCAGGGCGTTGAGGGTGTCTGATTTGGTGACCTCAGGATTAGGTCTCTGCTTTTTGAAGATGATGTGGTCCTGTTGGCCTCTTCGGACTGTGACCTTCAGCTCTCGCTGGGACAGTTTGCAGCCGAGTGTGAAGCGGCT